AACAGTTGGAGTTCATAGCAGACGTTATGCGATAGATCTTCATTTTCCTGCGTTGGTACTGATTGACAATAACATTGCTTCTCAGAGACCTCGAAGCTAAAGGAGGGGGTGATGTTAGGGACATAGTCCTTAGAACCTTCTAGAGACAAGTTTCTAGAACCTTCTAGAGACAAGCTTCTAGAACCTCCTAGAAGCAAGTCTTTGGAACCTTCTAGAAGCTTCTTAGTTAGTAGAAGATGTTAGGGACATAGTCCTTAGAACCTTCTAGAGATAAGTTTCTAGAACCTTCTAGAAGCAAGTCTCTGGAACCTTCTAGAAGCTTCTTAGTTGGTAGAAGTTGCTTCAGAAGCTTCCTAAATAGGAGTATATATTGGAATCGAGGCTGAAGAGTTCTTCAGTCTCGACAACACATCTCTTGGAGCTCTAGCTCACCTCTCTAGTGTTGTTCTTGTATTCATCTGATTAATCTAGTTCTTCTCAGTTCTTCTTGAACTTCTTGGTAGATATTAAGTCTGTATTTTGTGTCCGTGACAGTTAGCTCGCCATTAGAACAATAACTAAATACAAGGCAAGAAGATCTTGGCTAAACTATAAAAAGTGAGTTGTTAAGACTGAGGATCCTCTCAACCTCAACTCCTATATATACTAGGTCTTAAGAAGCTTCTTCAGAAGTTTTCATGATGCTTGGAAATAAAGCAAGCCTAAGATCCTTCTTTGGTAATTTCCTAAATCATCTAAAGCCTCCTAAAACCTTCTAGGATTTCCTATTACTTTCTACAACTTTCTTAGAATCTGTTGGAACCTTTTAGAATCTTCTTAGAGCCTATTGGAACCTTCTAGGATCTACAAGAACCTTCTTAGAACCTTCTTGAACCTTCTTCAGTTGTATGTCCGTAATTTAAAGAAGGCATCTCTCATGCCTTTTTTAAATTCGGTTTTTTTTTAAAATATTATAAATTACCACCACATTGGATGGTGATAAATAAAAATTATAATATATATATCTTTACTTATATTGACATACTACAATTGAAAATACTATACTATTCTAAGAATACTATTAACTAATATGATATTAAACTTAGTCAAGATTGAAGAATACCATGTACCTCAAATCCTATCAAAAATCCTATTATTTCATATAATTAAATTGATAAAAATTAGTACTATCCAAGATGATGTGTACCTTAACTTGGTATTATCATGTCATTGCTTTGATAAGGTCAGCATGTCGTTACTTCTTTCACCTCTAAAAAATGCAGAAGTTCATTCACACTCTATCAAGTTTAAATAAAAAGAATGAAGTTGATTAATAAATAAAAAATGACACAAAATTTTTATTCTTTAGACTACTAAATATACCTTCATTACATAAATATATATTTACAAACTCACACTTGTCAAGGTCTTATATTTATTACTTATAATAATTTTTTTTTGCATAAATTACAAAATTTTTTATGTTGCCCATTAAAATTGATAACGATGATAGATTCTAGACATGTCACTATTATTAAAATAATTATCAATTATGGCTATACTAATCTGTAAAATACGTGGCCTCAATAATTTCTAAATTTTGACTAATTTATCTTTTGTTAAAATCCATCTCTTTTGGCATTTTTAATTCTTCTTGGTAATCCCCTTAGACTTCCATTTCAATTTTATTTTTGTTAGAATATCCTCTACATTAATGATTGTCTACCTCAATATTCTTGTATTCAATTGAATCAAAAGTTTTGGCTCTGACAAGGATAAGACTCTTTATCTTTGGCATATTGTTGAGTGAGCTTCTTTAAACTAATACTATTCTAAATAATATTGACTTCTCATCTAAATTTGAGATAGGAATGCAAGTCTTATTCTTTTTTACTTCCAAAATAATCTTCTTATTTTTTTTTCTAAATTAGGATTTTTTTTCCTAGATAACACTATTTTTTGCATCCAATAATAATATTTTGTGGTATTGCTTTTTGTCATTTTGTGCCTTTGCATTATCAAAATATAGAATTGAAGGAAAGATTTTAACCTCACATTTTATTCATTCTTTAGGACTTATTGTACATTAGCTACTTAATTTATAAAGTTGATTGTGGTTTTTATCATGTTGTTTATTCATGTGTGTTCTTACTAATCCACCATTTGATTCCAAATTTAAACTTTAGCAATTAATTTTGGATCAATAGCACAAAAAAATACTAACCTCTTTAACTTTGGTTGCATATTGGTGGCTAAGAAAACTTAAGTATTGACTTAACAATCAGTAAAGATTTTTTTTTTGCTTATTGGAGTTCTTCTTTTAAGGTAATTATTTTTATTTATAACATCTTCATCTTCTTTGGAATTTTTATTGCTTTGACTAATAATTTTAGGACCTAAATTATAGCTTTAAGTATCCAAATTAAGATCGTGACCATAATTGGTATACCAAAGAATTCAAAATAGTTGTTCTAAACACAGTCCAAGGATACTTCAGTGGTGTCAAATAACTTAATTGGAGTTGCATTTGGTAGATTCAATGGATTTTTATTTTTATTTTTATTTTTTTAATTTAAATAAATTATCTTCTATTTTTATATATTAAAAAAAATACGATCCCTCTTGTTGGTTTCAAGCTTACAATCTCTTGGTCTTTTGATTTGGTATCTTTGATTTTGTCTTTTTTCTCCTATAGGTTGATTTTTGAGAAATGCCATCTCATTTGTTTTTACATCTATTCTTCTTTCATAGGAATGAGCAAGCCTTCACTTGGTATAAGTGAGAAAAATAAGATGAAAATGGATAAGGTGCAACTTTTATCTATATAAGTTATTGCTTGTAATACAAAGTTAAGGAGTAATTAAGTCCAATTTGGAGCTTGTCTTTTGGTGATAGCTTCTATTTAGATGGTTGTCGACAACTTACTAATTTTTTTTGAATGGAGGGGATAAAAAATAAGAATCAAGTATTGTACTTCATATATTCTATTAATATTGTATTTTTTTTTGGATCATACAAATTAAAAGAGAAGATTGCAACCATCTCTCGCATCATTTTTTCTCTCTATGATAGCAAGTTGCTCTCTTCATTATTCAATTAATATCCTTTTATTACTAATAGTAGATAATACACATTGAAGTTGCTCATAGTTGTATTCTCTATCCTATAAGGTACCCTTCTTGAGATCAACTTATCTATCATATTTTCATCTCAAAATCACTATGGCATTTGATAAAATTGTCTACATTCCATTATTGTCAAGTCTTCTTATGATTTTGTCATTTTAATGTTATAATCTAAATTGGTTAGATTGAGCTTTTGTAGTTCTACTTGAGTTAGTAATTTTACCATCTTTTTTATGAATTCTTTCATCTTTATTTATTTAACTCTTCTATTATCTTTTCTTTAATTGACTTTGTTCTAAGTTACTACATTCTAATTTTTTCGAGCTAAACCTTCACAATCTTCTATTTCAATAAATTATGCATTCCAAAAAAATTATATATATATATATATTTTTTTTTTTTATCTTTAACTTAATCATAGTGTAGTCATTAAGTAATTCAATTATCTTTTAACTTAAAATATATAAAAGAATGGATGGAACTACAATAATATATTCTCTCTATTTTTTGTTCTAATTAAATTAGATATTTTTAACTTCTTATGATTTTTATTTTTTTTATAAAATTTCTACTTTTTGTATTTTTTTAGTTTTTCTATATAGTTTAACTATCCTAGTCCTATCTAATCTAAATAAATCTATTAAATTATCACATATTTTTAAATTCTATTAATAACTATCTTATTTCTAATCTAATTTTTACAATTGATAGATTGATAATTTGGCCAACAAATTAGCCACATGTTATACATTTAGCTATTTATATTACAAGTTGGCTATATATCACACATATCAAAAACTTGTCTCACAAAATTAGACATATGCCTTGCAAGTTGGACATATGTCATATGGCTTATAAGGCATTATTACTTAGTTCTATAGTAGATTGTATATATAGAGGCAAGAGTAAAGCCTTCTTTATTTTTGTTAATGCCTTTTTTATATTTAAATAATAAAACAAATAAAATTATTATTATATTTTTTAATATTATATTAAATTTAAAATATTATTTTCTATTTATAAATAATTTATTTCTATACAATCTAATTTTTTTGGTTACATTATTTAATTTTTTGAAATTTTTATCTAAACAAAATATAATTATCTTATCTAAAATTTTAATTTTAACTTTAAATTATTTTATATTTCTAAAACTTAAAACATAAGACCTGATTAATAAATAAAAAATCTTTTATTTGTATATATTTTCTATTATTAATACATATAATATTAAAATAAATAAAATAATGTAATATTAAATAAATAAAAACAAAAGAAATCTTATTTTAAAAGTTCTATTTTTATTTTAAAAAATAAATGTATTATCTACAAGAATCTATACAAATCAGTTTTAAGTATTTTGAGGATCTAAAAGACTACTATGGAAGTACTTAACAACTTTAAGAAATACAATACATACTTCTAATAAAGTTTTCATAAAAAAAACTCAAACACTTAAGATGTAGTATCAAAAGAAATGTGAAAAAAATATATAAATATAAACTCTTTTTAAAAATAAATATGACCAAAATCTTCATTTAATAAAGATTCCTTTCAATAACAACCTCTCTTGATATACCAAACCTACATTAAATCAAAGATCCAAAAACAACCAATAAATGGTTCTAACAGTAATAAGTTACAAAAATATGTGGAGAATTAACTCTCTTTCCGTAAGTGAAGACATATTCTCTTATCAATATATACATTCCAAGCTAATTGAGTAGGATTCTTTGAACATTTTTCTCCAATTCATTCTCCTGCATAAAATCTCCTTGCCTTTACTAACTTGTGAACGAAGGAGTGGGGGAGTAGCTCCAGCCAGCAACACCAATACCTAAGCTTTGGGTTGTGTTGTGTTGTGAGGTGTGTTGTGGTGTGTTGTATTGGAAAGAATCAGATGCTGGTGTCACGGTGGGGATGGGGAGGGTGCTCACCGTGGAGAGGGACTCGGCTTCGCCAGTGCTTCACCCGGCACTGCCACAGCTTCCTGCAGATCTCAGCCCAGCTGGGCCTTTCCTTGGGATCAGTCGCCCAGCAACGCTCGATCAGGTCCTTCAAAACATGGGACATGAACACTCCTTCCAAGGAAAGCCTCTCGTTGGCCAGAATGCTCTTGAAGATCTTGCCATTGGGTACTCCGTCGAAAGGAATCTTCCCAGTCAGGATCTCGTAGCATGTCATCGCGAAGCTGTAGACATCCGCAGGCCACTGATAGTAATGAGAAGTCTCCAAGTCCGGTTCGTTGAACACCTCCGGTGCTCTCCAAGGAGTTGTCCCTGCCATCTTCGTCATCACGTTGTTTGTGGACAGTTGGCGTGCTTTTGCAATGCCAAAATCAGCTAGCTTGGCGATGTAGTAGTCCTGGGGTTGTAACAAAGGTGCCAAGTTTCGGAACTTCCTGCTCAGAGATCGGCGGACACGCTTGCACCGGTTGACGAGAATGTTCTTCGCCTTCAAACCCCTGTGCAGGATCTTATGCTCTCGGAGGTACTGCATTCCTTCTGCTATTTGGAACATGATGTCGATTGCCACGATGAGAGGGAAGGGGCTGCGTCCTGTACCTGGGTTCGGGCACCTGTTATCAATCACCGTGCGTAGATCATGTTCCATGAGTTCCATTACTAACAGCCCACTCTTTTGTTTAGCTAGGAAAGCGCACCCTATCATTCGTACGACATTTGGATGCTGAACCGTAGCAAGGATTGCGGCTTCTTTCTCAAATTGTTTCCTGCTCAACCCTGGTGATTTGATGGTTTTTACGCACACCTCCTTCCCCCATAACTTGAACTTGGCTACCATGCCTGAAGCACCCGAAGCTATGAATTCAACGTAGTGCCAACTGGAGGCTTCTATCCTGAATGTGTAGGGTAAAGAGTTTGCTTGTGGTATAGGACCATGTAACTTCTGGCTCAAGAAATTTGCAATGGTGTGGTTGTTGGCGTCTGTGGTGGAAAAAATTTTCTGAGATGTTTCCGATAGCTGAACAAGCTTCTCGATGAGAACAGCAACATCCTCGGCTTCCAGCTCCCTCATGACTTGACACAATGATTCTGGTGAATTCCCACTCCGTCCTTCCGGCTCGTGCATTAACCATAAGCATCCACCTCCATCTCTCCTCAGACCACTTGAAAGTGACACCAACCAATGTGGAAAACCCGCGAAGAAGCAGGTGCAGTGCGTAAAAGGCAAGGTCGACGATGTCCATGCTCCATTCACAAGCTCGAATTGCGAGGGAGAATCGAGACCATCTGAAGATGCTGGGTTGCGGCAGAGCATTGGAGATCTCGAATACAGTCGTCAACCAATCCTCCTTGCTGCATGAGGTGAGGAGCTCCTCCACCGCTTGGAAATTGCGCGCTAATTCGGTGAGTGCTTCAATGCAGAAGCCTACGCCCTTGAAAATGCTTTCTCTCGGGCTGCTTGGTCGATCCATAACCTCCAAGTCCCGGACTAGTTCAATAGTTTCATTATAATAGGGCAGTCGATCGTTGAATAAGAGTGACAGTGTCTTCACAAGATTATCCCGCTCAAGTTTGAATACTTCAACGCCGGGGGAACGGCGAGAGGAAAACTGCAACACTTGTGCCTCACATTCATCCAGCGACGCAGATAGTGACTCTGTCAGGTCGTGATGCCTTACTTCCGAGAAGTCTAATGGGATCTCGATATCAACCATGTCAAGTTGGGCCTGTATATCAACAAGTTCATCTTTCCAATCTTCTACCGGTTGTCCGTTCACTTCCGCAACCTCCACGATAATACGAAGATAATCTTCCAGCATATTCACCAAGACAGCGCACTCTTCCTGCGTGAGTCGGCCATTGCGTTGTCTAGCGTTGGCCTCTTCCATATCTCTCAAGGCCTTAGAATACTGCTCCACCTTTCCCTTCACCATTTCAGAGGGTTGTTGCCTAATCTTTGAGCTACCTCCAGTATTTCCATTCATCAGTTCTATGAGATCCTTTAAGTAGTCATTCACCATCCGCACTGCAACACCTCGGTGATAGAAACCATGAGACGGTTCAGTGCCTTCTGGCTGGTTCGCATCATCCAACCCTTGTTGTACAAATTCTTCGCCAGGTCCATCTCTCTCGGTTGAAGGGCTACGTAGCTCTGCCAAATCTCTATTCATCTTGCTAACTACAACTTGAATTCCACCGTCTCTAGACCATAAGCTTTTTCGTTGGCTCACACCTTGCGGTGGTTCCTCCTCAGCACCTCCAGGATTAACATCTCCATTGAATCCATTCTCATCTACAGTAGGTACTGTGGCTTTAGGCGCATCCCCTGACGCCATTTCTGCCTTGCTGACCGTGGAACACGTCCGTTGGAGCTAAGCGCAATTCACTTGAAAACCAACTGATAATATGCAGTTCGAAACCCTGTTGCAAAACTGGATCCAAAAAGATAAAATTGCACTAAGACCTCGTCTGCCCACCCGACTTCGTCGGAGAGAAACATGGACTTCTACACTACACGTTTTTGTCGATGTTTACAGGCGCTCCGAATCTGTTAGATTTGGATTGAATAGGTCTTTCTGCAGCCTGGTGAACACACTCACAGCACAGAAAGAAAGTTGAAACCCTAGTTATCTGCCAGAGTCTTCAGTACAGAGAAATAAGACAAACCGAACCCTGATTGTATGGGTTACTGAAGTGCGTCAAGATAATATAATGGAAATGCAGAATGGAACTGTGATCGGAATACGACGATTGTCGACATATGCAAAAGCAAATGTGATTAAAGTAAACCTCAGTCAACATATCATAGCGTGGTCTAAAAGAACTAATGAACGACACTAAAGGTCGGTTTCTCACCTTGAAAACTGCCAGCACTGAAACACTGACGCGACAAGGACCTTCCACCCCAAGATATCGTCCTTTTGTACGATATAGGCTGCAAGATCTCCAAGTCTCTTACTCTAACACGCAAGAAGTCTACATATTTTTTTCAAAAAATAATCTAACCCCCAGGATATTTGATGAGGTTTTATGGCAAGAATACATGTCCAACACGTGCGGTACCCACATCAATCGGAGCGTGTGTGAATGCATGATGAAATCAAGCAATCTAACAATTAGTTGGACGACGTCTCAGGTCGTCATCGATCTGTCGGAAACAACCCACAAGTCAAACTTGCTGAGCTTCACAGGAAACTTTGTTCCATCGCAGGAAGATGCGTCGACACCACGCCAGAGACGCGGTGAACGCCGAAATATAAACCAGCTCACCCAACTTACGAGACCTTTTCCAAACTGATACGTTTGATTTGTTCTGTAAATTGCCAGATGGTTTTAATTTGGTGATGGAGTTGCTTTCCGGCAAGCTTGATGCAATGCATATTCCTAGTACCGTAGCTAGCAAGCACGATGAGTGTGAGTTTGATACCGTTTGCAACAAAGCTGACAAGGCGCAGAGAATCTCCTCGGGGGAAAAGCTCCCTCTGGATACTGGTCAGAAAGCCTTGAATAAGTCCGATTACATCACAAGTCGTTCTCTCGCCATTTGATGATCTCACAGTGTCCACTGCAGAACACTGAAAAATACCGCGTCTTTTTGCATTTTGATTCTGATTGTGAAAAGCTTTACAATCTATGAAGATGGTTTGAGTCAGAAGCATGTGGATGGGAGGACATTGTTCTTTGATGATTGTAGACCTGTGGAGGTGGTGAATCCTCCCTTTTCTGTGCAAATTTGGTTGTTTTGTGATAAATGGGTAGTGAAATTGTTTCGTGACTAAAGTGTCATCAAAGTCACAGAAGAGATGAGAAGATGTGGCATAAAAGTGGCATTACCGCGGAAAAGAAGATTTGGTACGAAGGTGATTTACTTGGCAGAGGAGGTTTCAATCAAGTGATACTTACAATCAATCAAAAAGTTGGAAAAATAATGTAATAAGGTATTTATTATAGGTTATTAAGTATATCAGTTTTTAAAGTAGAAAATAAAAATAAAAAGTGCCTCGAGATATGCAAAAGTATCTTGTAACTTGAATATGTTAAAAGAGTTTAATTATAAAAACTTCAATAGCTTTAACAATGATAACCTAAATATTACTGCATCAATCAAAATTCAAAGGTTGCAAATTGTATAGCATAAATATTAACAGCATATCTTTTAATAAATCTATTTAAAAAAACATATGTATTATTTAAATAATATGTCCATTGATTTGTTTTGAATATTCTAATTAATATTAAGCATGTGCTAATTATTTATAAAACATCAAGTTCCAATAATAGATAATTAATAAAATCATCTTTTAACACACACACACATAAATATATATATATATATATATATGTAATACTAGCTTATAGATCTACAAAACATGATAACAATTACCATCCCAAAAATATAAATAAAGTATTTAATTTTTTTAAAACGGATGTAAGTAATTATATATGTAAATTATTTCTTTAAAATATGTATTTTGAAACATAGTATTATGAACCGCTTAAAAATAGATAATACATATGAGTATATCTAATTGAAAGAATTAAGAAAAATTTAGAAATGTCTCATGGCATATGGCAAAAATAATGACACTTTTATAAAAACATCTTTATCAATGAATATTTCTTTACTATCTTTACATCATATGATAATTTCTTTATTATTTTTGAAATTATCTTTATCAATAAATATTGATATTTATATCATTACCTATGCAATTATATAAATATTTTTTAAAAAAAATAGTAAAAAATATACCAAGTAATTATATAAACAACTTAAATAAAATTAAATAAAAAACTAGATTGTAATTTATTTTTTTCTATTCATATAATAATTGTAGTAATAATAATATGAATACATTAAATAATACTATATTGATTTTTAATTATACTCTTTCTTAAAATAATGATATGAAGCTCTAGAATTGGTTTTGCCAAACACAAGTTTGCTATGCATATTTGCTACTTATTCTCATTGAATCTTTCGAAAAAAATGTGGTATTGAATACAAGATTCATATAAAACACAAATATGTACAAAATTATTGTTTCTATTAGTAATTAAACTTTGAATATGAATTTGTGAAACTTGTATAAACTTTGAAGTTACTATGTATAATTGCTTGTACATATAAAATACATCTTTCAAAAAAAAATGTTTTATTTCCTTCTTTCTTTTTTTCTTGTAGTCCAAATCAACTATAATATTAGATCTTAAAAGTTGGCAAATAAGGATTGTAATTCTTTAAAACTCTATTAAAAAAAAAAAAATGAATCTTATCCACATCCTTTCCTTACACCATATCTTATTTACATTTATAACAATTACATTACATAAATCTCAATTGATTATTCCACAAATGTTAATGAACAAAGCCACATTAATTGCAAAACCTAAAAATTCTACAATACATCTTAAGTAATGACTATCATTTCTACTTCTATGAAAAAAATACTTTTAGAGGATATTCTACCTTTATTTTCTAATTAAGTTTTGTTGTAGAGAATCCCTTGAACAAGTTTTTATTAGTTTTTATTAGTTGTAATGATTTTATTGCTTTTTTGTTCCTACTCCATCTTTGTGATCAAACACTAATACGACATAGGATCAAACACTAATACGACATAGGAACAAGGAAACATTGGGAATATTTTTTTCTAAATAATACACACAATTCAATATGCCGTTGATAAATAATACCTCGTATGATCTTGATGCATAAATTTGTCTACTAAAGTTGCAAATCCAAAACCAACCAATGTCCACGCCGGCAAACAAATCTATAGTGGTGTGTTGGCACCATGTAGTACTTACTTACACAAGACATGATTGAATACGATCCACAAGTAACTTTCACCTTCACCACTCCTGAGCTTCATCTTCCTCACAATGAAGTGACCAAAAAGGCAACGCATCCAACTGCAACGTCAGGTGTTCAATGTCTTGGTGCAAGAAAAAGAAAAAGAAACAAAGCACAACTATTTTTCCAATCTCGGCAGAAATTGTGGTCGAAATCATATGTTGTCACTTCAACAAACCCTAAAAAATTGAGGAAGTAGACTGATCTCGACGACGAAATACGCTTGATAAGTAGGTTTCTCAAATTCAAGTGCAACACCAGTGCTCGCTCGTGGACTAGTTTTGAATCACGTCCACAGGAGGCGTCAGTGTACATTACCCGTGAATTTCAAAGAGGTTGGTGAGGTTGGTAATCACCACGACTTCCATCGAAGGCGATAAGACACTACGGAGACGAGAGAGTATTGAGGTGGACCTATTCGTTTAGAACGCAAATCCCTCTCGGTCTCCATGAGAGCGTGACCACTGTGAAAGAGTTCACCAAGCAAATCTTCGGAGGGAGAGTAAGGATGCTATTTAGGAAGTGCGATGTTTATCAGCATTTCCCGCTTGAATGGAGTATGGTGGGGCAGCGCGGCTTAAGGTCATATGAAGAAGAGGGTCTTTTCTCTCAAGCAAGTGGGTTCCTTCATGAGGATAAAAGCCTCAGGCTGTGCACTATTGTACCCAAATCCGTAATTAACCACGTTTACTTGCACATGCAATGTTGTGTTCCCAGCAAAGGCACTAGCTAGCATTGACGAGGTTCCTGAGTCCCAGATCTTGTGAATTCCTGAGTTCTCAACTGGCCAGCTTGAAAGCATCGATGAAGAGGCCATAAGTAAAACCCATCTTAAAGTTGTTGACAAGCGCTACAGTGAAAGATATCTTCTTCCTAGTGCGAGTGAACCGTGTGATATACTCCGTGAACAAAACACACATGGCCGCTGCAATCACATCGTTGACGCCCAATGCTCCGAACGACAGGGAGATTGTCTGCGCCACATAAAACCCACCCAGAATTGCAATACCTCCAAAGAGAGCCCTCCGCCAAGGGTCCTTGAAGTACGTTCTTGCAATGCGAGGCAAACGGCGCACCACATCCACCAGTCTATTGCTTCCCACGTCTCTGTCAAACGTCGCTCTTGTTCTCAAAACCCTCAACGCCCCCTTCCTTTGCCGGATTCTCTCACCCTCAATCCCTCGCGTCCACCATCCGCCCCCATAGCTCCTCCACGCGGAAAAAACTTGGTGCCCACCAACTCCATAGCCAGTACCCGAAAAAGGTGTGCGAGTAAGCAGCACCATTGATGTCGTCGACATCGCAAGATACTTCCCACGCTTGCGCACGCCCTCCAATTTCTACTTTCTCATTCGATCCCAATCTCACAACCCGGGCAAGCAGAGTTAGCTCATAGCATATTAACCCTAAAACCGTAAATTAAAGCTCCCGAACATGAGCACGTTAGCGCAAACCTCATGGATTTCAATACCTCTGGCTCACAGGCACCGCCAATTCTGAGAGCAGTGATCTCGTGGGGCACTCGGCATTCGAAGGGAAGGGAAGGGGAGGCCCAAGTCTTTGCACCAGCTCACAGCGACGTCCACATAATACATAGTTCTTCCTGCTCTGGGCTTCCTCTCCGATGGATGGATGGATGGATGTGTGATATTTATCATCTACTTTCATCCACTTGGCCATCCTTTAGGGCTTCTTCTTTCTGTTCTCGAAGAGATCTGTGGTATGTTTCAAGGAATATACCTCGTCTGTGTTGTAACCTATTTGAAACACAAAGTCCAGCAGATTGATATAGAAAAAAAATTCGATCATTTTGCAAATGCATTAGAAATATATATATATATATATATATGTGAGTATGAAAAAAATATTTGTTAGATAATAATAATTTTATTATATATATTAAAAAACTACTTCTATAGCTAAATATTATATAAAAATAATTTTAATACTAACAAGAGTTAGAGTTAAAATATTTTAATATGCTTTGTTTATTTATTTTATTTTTTGTATCAAAATTAATTTTTGCATCTTTAGGGTTTTGGATTGACAATAATAAACTAATATATTTTTTTACAATAGATGTTTTTTATAAAAAAATAAAAAATATTCAAAAAATTTAAAGAAATAAAAAAATGCTTGGATTTTTTAAAATAATTTATTACATGATGTGGCATCAAATGTAAAATCTCATCGGACGTATGTAATTTAATTTAATTTAGTGATTTTCCATGCACTAAGCTTTTATTCTTAGTTGACTTTATTAGTATCAACTGAAATTTAAAGTTTTAGGTAGAAAACCCCCTTTAACTTCACATTCTTGTCAAGTCAAGTCTTAGGAGTGATTTTAAAAGAGAAAGCTTGTATTATAATTATTCCAAGAGGTCTTTTTATATGGCAAATTAAGATAGATGCTTTACAAAAAATCATGTCACCAAGTAACTTTTTACAACTTTAGATTTTTTTTAGCTTGAAAAATCACTATTGAAGGTTTGTCTAGAATTTCAACTTAATTCTTAAGCCTTTAATTATTCTCACAAGCAAGGATCATCCATGAACTTTGAGTTGTGAGCAGCAATATGCATTTGAAATGTTGAAGCTAAAGTTGGATTAAGTTCCAATGCTTTGATGTTTAGATGCTACCAGATCTTTCCAATTATATACATATTTAAATATAGTAAATTTGATAGTCGTCTTGATACATAAAAATAATATAAGATATTAGTATGTCATTGTGTTCGATTCTAGAAGCAATAACAATATGCAATCTAACTATTTATCTTATTGGGAGGAAGATTTAGTAAGCTAATTTGTATGAACAATATTTTATATTGGTGATTGACCATCAATCTTTAAAGTGATTCATAGAGTCAAACAAGCTTATTGACAAGCTTACTAGATGGATTTTGTTGCTTTAGGAATACTACTTTGAGATTGTGCATTGAGCAAGGATTACTAATTTGGATGCTGATATATTTTCTTGTAATCCAAGTTATTGAAAGAAGACTTAACCACACTTTGATGGCATAGGAATTACAATATAGAGGCAATTTTTAGATGGTATGCAGCTACATATTTGACTTTGATGTCAATTTCTACAACTATGATGCATGATTAAAGCTTCAACAAAGAATCTGATAAAATCAAAGTAATAAACAATGTATAAGAGGACCTTGCAATCTTACACAAGCTTTAAGAAGGGATATTTCTTTTAGCTATCTCTGCTATAGAAAGAAATAGGATTAGTTACCAAATAACAAGATTTTATTGAGAAAATAATTTATTATTTTGTATATGGTCTAATAGAATTAAGTGCATAGTTCTAAGATCAAATCAAAAAGCTTCTTTGGTGCGATAAATACATGAAGAGCTTCGACATTATTAAGGTGCACAATATGCACTTTATATTACGCAACTAATATTAGTAGATTAGCATATTTCAACATGTTACTACATATGATTTTCAATGTGAAGTGTACAATTTAGTCATGTCAAGTTTTAATACTTTATTATCTCAATTGAGGCTTTTATCTATTATGGATTTGGACTACAGTTGATCTTTGGACTTGGTTGAGTGACTTGTTGTCACTTCATATGGAGCTAAATAAGTATTGATAATAGTAGAGCTAAACAAGTAAATTGAACTTATGGCTTTGTCATAAATTCTTTAAAGTTGGCAACTATGGCTTTTCTTGATTGTATATTTGTATGTTTTGGAATACTTGCTAAAGTTGGAGTAGATCATGACAAGGAGTTCTTTGATACTTTTTAGGCTTTGTGTTCTAAATCTTTGATAGATCATTGCACCACCTCTAAAAATCATCCTAAAAAAAAATGGATTTTGTTGAATGGATTGTTCAAAGTATTAAGCTTGAGTGAAAAAAATAGAAGTTATTTTATGGTAACTATAGTTCTTGGTATTTAATGTTGCCATAAATTGCAATGGATTATTGCTTTAGTAGGCAAGCATCTTTGGTATCTTATAATCCTTATTAATTGTCATATGGATGAAAAACAATCCTACTAAGCATAATACTTGAAAAACTAACTCTACTTATAGATGTTAAATTCAATGTTTATATGTTCAAGTAAAATTCTTTAAGAGAACCATGCCTATAGCTATAAAGAACTTATCTATTGCTGAACATTGTAATACTTTATGATATAATTGTATTTGTAGTCGAGCTTATTGACCTCAATTATGGAGATTCTTTAATGAAGATTATATGTATTTGCAACTTGACATACCTATAATACTTAATGTTAAGGCAGGGGGTACAATTCTTGGTTTCATGAATGTATTGTCCATTGGTATTTTATTACTTAAAGGCAAGGATGGCAGGAGTGTTGAGAGCATTCAAAGAATTGGATTCTTTGTCATCTTCCTATTAATGATTCTATACATCTTCATCTCTAACTGTATATGTATTGTTGTCATAACTAAGTAGAAAGGCTCCTAATCAACTAAAGAAGGTACTTCAAAGTATGTTGATTGTCTATTTGTATTTAGTTTAGATTCCATACTTAATGATTGATTTATGGCACTCAATCTATTATATATAAAAATCTTTGTTTAGACAATACTTGTTACATAATATGATATTGGATGCCAAATCATGTTGGATGTATGTAATTTAATTTTAGTGGTTTTTCATGCACTTGGTTTTTTCCATCAATTGAATTTGTTAGTATCAATTAGGATTTAAAGACTTAAGTAGAGAAACACCCTTGACTTAACATTCTTATCAAGTCAAATCTTATGAGCGATTTTAGAAAGAGAAAGATTATATTGTAAGAGTTTGCTAGACTATGGTGATTTAGCCATTTAGTAAAGCTTTCGGATTTTCTCTATTCACACTTACACTCTTAGATTCTTTCTTTGCAGTGTGAGAGGTTGCTTGACTTAATTGTTTGTAGGTTTATTATCTTTCATTAAAAGTGTGTTGATTGTACATTTGTATTTGGTTTAAATTGCATACTTTATGATTGATTTATGGCACTTGATTTATTCTATATAATAATCTTTATTTACACAACAAATCTCCCTATGATAGAAGAAAAAATACAAAATAAAAAAATTAATACTTAATCTATAATTAAAGTAATTTTGGTTTTAGATATGAGAATATATGAAAGATATAAAAATAATATAAATGATATAGTATTGAAAAGTAAAATTCTCAGCTTATAATAAGAAATAAATAAATAAAATTATTTTTTTATGTATCTACATACTAAATGCTTGGAAGATATGGAGAGGAGGTAATCTAGAATCAATAGAGTATTCATTCTTTGTAAAGAATGAACTTGAATCAAGAAATAATAAAGTTGATAAAAAATCATATAACAATCATATTTGAAAAATCTCAAACAAAATAGAAGATAGAAAGGAGAAAAGAAGAGAGATTTCAAATAAAGTAATGTCTAGCCCAAAAAAAGATGGTGAAATAAAGAGTGGTCCCGAAGATTATTAAAAAATAGAAACAAAGAGCCATCAAAAGAATCTAATAATTAATATTGAAATTGCTGAATTTTAAAAGATGTTTCTTAAAAAGGACTTATCAAAGAAATTGTAGTGAATTAGAGATTTAAAAAAACAATTCAAGAAGAAGATTTTAGTTTTGATATTGGAATACCAAAATTTAAAATTAATTAGAAGCAAGAAGAAATAATAATAATGGATATGCATTAATAAACCAACATAGAAATAGAATAGTATTTTTAGATGATGATAGAAATAAGATGTTAGAAGTTTGAAAAAGCATGAAGGTTTTCATTTCAACCTTAAAATCAAAATCAAAATTTCATATTTTACATCAAAAAGGTTAATGCCCATATTATTATTTTTTAAATGAATTATTAAATTAATTAACTTCAATTTTTGTTTTATATATATTTCCTTGGCTAAAAGCAATGAGCAAAATGGAAATGTCTTGCAAAATATTTATAGAACTACTTCTAAAACCAAATAATAAATTAATTAATTAAAACCAAAGTAAAGATAGTGTAATTATCAACAAATGCATGCTTTGTAAAGAATAATTTGATTAAAGAATAATTAGATGGAACACTCAAGGTTGAATTATTTCTTGATTCTATCAAAGAGAAGGACATTTATGCAAGAATGAAGAATGAAGAAAAAGAGTATGCTTCGAAGTTAAGCAAAAGGAGTTCAAATAGAAGACAAATAGTGGACAAATGCGGATCCGTTTGGAAGATCAGATAACCGTGCGTTACAATTAGATGTACCAATGCAGTGCTGCAAAGAAATCAACTTTGTAATAAAATTACAGTAGGTAACACTTTTAGCACATACGCTCCTGGCCACAATCAACGCAGTGCGATCGTAAACCAACACAAATGTGTTATTTTCATGGTCATAAAGAGTCTTACAAACAAAATCAAAAACAAACAAACAAAAAAAAAAAAAAAAAAAAACACCTCAAATGAACAGCGACGCAGGCCCAGGGCCAACTGAAAGTTCCGTTGATCAAATGATAAAAGAAAGGAACGATACGAAGGAACAGATGTCAGATGTACTTCGTCGGTCACGGCAATCGTGCATTTCTTTTACACTCAACATAGCAAAAACAAATCTCCACCCATGTAGAGAAAATATTCAGGAACTTTGAGTCGTGGTTTCCTTCGAAATTATGAGATTATGTGCATGAGGTCCCTTTCTACAAATCTAACTACTCAAATGGTCATGCTGATAATCAGGATTGAGCTTCAAAATCACGAATCCTTCTAACACAGTTGACAAGGGAATATACCTGCGCACCATCCACCATAAGTTTGGATTAGACTACTTGCAGAAATACATGTACAACTTTCAACAATCTGCGCCATAAGCAAATTATTTTGTAGCTTCGTCGTACACACATTACCAAATGGTATTGAACTTCGTGAGGTAAGATTACTTGCAACACAACTTATGCTAGCCAGCTGCTGGCACCGAAAAATCCAACTGATATGGTTACATGTGCGAATTGAAGACGCATCCCGACAAATCACATCCAATTTACTCAGATGCTGCACATGAGAGAGACTTACTTCTCAGTAGCCAGCTCGGCACGGTCACCAGTAGCCAAAATTACTGGAGTGGTGTGTGTCTGGAAGCCAGTGATGGTCTTGGGGCGACCAGCTTGACCAACCACATCAACAGCTTGACCAACTCGTACAGGAACAGGCAAAGGTTTTAAATTTTCATCCAAAGTTATCAACATCCGTGGCTGTCATCCAATAACAAACAATGTTAATAAAACCATAATTTCAAAGAGAAGAGCAAGCAGAGAAACAAAAAAAGAAAGACGAGACTAGGATTATTCAGATTGCCGAATTTAGAAGCTACACTAGCAATTCACCATGACATCAAACTTTCAGCATTTAAGTGTCTACAAGATGAAACTGAAAGATTTACCTGCATTGCCAGCACAAGAAAATACAGAACATAATGGTATTTCCCAAGAATGAAAGATTTCATATCAAAGCTAGCATGCAAAAATGTGATCAGGCCTGCCAACGCCACACTGCATACCAGAAACAATGTCATCAGATATTTCTTTACCTCAGCAAAACATCTTAACAAGTATTATTACAAGAAAATAGCTCGAAGTGAACATTTAATCAGCCAAAAACTAAAAAAGACCACATACACTTCTCCAATGTTACAAAAGCAGTATGGTGTAACCCCACTGACTTCCTAATGTTCAATAATATGATTGACAGCTCAGAAGTCCAACACTGAAACGCTTGGTAGCTTACTTTGATAGCAAAAATCGGTCTGAATGGTAAGGGTTGAGAGTCAACAGTCCTTTCCCCATGTGAACAAGGCCTTGTGCAATCCTAACCTGCATGTCATCAACATGTTGTCATCCAGCCCTAAACAAAGAATAACGCAAAGTAACAGAATAATTAGATGCATAATGAATTAAGGTAAAGAAGCATACACAAAAGAGTAGGCTTGGGTCCTTGTAATAGTAGCTAGAGAGATTGCGAAGCATTCCAGCAATTCGGGCGTTATTGGTTCCCGCTCCTATAAGTCCCAAAGAAATTGTAGCCGACTGTGATATGAACAGTGTTGTGTCAGAACAAACCAACAGTGTATACCAAAATCAAAAACTCATCGACCACTTGTTTAGGTTAAAACCACAATTACCATGTAATCCACAGAACAACTATAATTTCATGCGCAAATGTTGGTAGGAACAATGATGAACACGGATAAAAGAAAACAATACCATGGCCACTTCAGAATCACTGTCGTGGCTGAGACGGCTCAGTGTATCCATTACACTAATCTGCAATCAGAAATTAAAAAAAATAAAAATTGATATCTCAAACCACATAATTTTCATAAGGGGACATTTGTTGTGAGCAGTAGCCTTCAGCAAAAAGTCAGCAGCAAACAAAAGAAAGTAATGTTAAACACATCGAAAGATGTGGATGTAAGAATTGCCAACATACTTTTACACAGTCCTAATTAGTGCCACAACAACTTCTGCTTTACCTTAGGATTTGAAATGGATAGCAATCCAAGAGCAAGCGGCACTGCTCGCCGGATGTTCTGTTCACCGTATTGAAGAAGATGTTCCAAGGATCGAATGGCCATATCACAGCCCAACTCTTCAGCCATTGCTAGCAAAGCAATACCCAAAACAGCAGGAGCCTGATGATTATCACCCTTCTCCAAGTGGTCACCACACATGCTTAGCATAGCTTGAACCTGCATTCAAAAGAACACTTCAGACAAAAAATACATCTGTAAACACGCTAAGTAGTGATCTCTAAAAAAGTAGCACTAATACTAGAAAATGCATTTTCTGGTCAACAAAAAAAAATCGTCATTACCATCACAACAAAAAGGAAACGGAAAAGGAAAATAATCCACCTTGAGAACATTGCCTGTTCCTGCATATGCACAGGTCTCTACAGTGACAAGACAATACTTCGAAATTTTCTCATTTAATGTCTTAGCCACCTCCATGGTTGCGTCTGCAGCATCCTGGATACGACGAAACAATATGATTCCAATTCGACATTAAAAACCTTTACTTAAGGTTTTCTCCTTTAAAAGTCTCAAATTGAACAAGATTGCAGTAACTACAATCTTAGCAATTTACATACTACAATCGGAATGGAGAAAGTGCTATATCGTATAACATGGAAATTGGCCAAATAGCACAGTACCTGCTTCCCAAGGTACAGAAGACCTAGACCAAGACATAAGAAGCGAGTCAATGGTTCTCCAAGCTCAGACTCGCTGCGGTCCATCAAAGCGAGGACAATAGATTGTGCAACATCTTCATTACAAGAGCCCACATAGACGAGACCCAAAGCTACAGCGGCAAATCCTGCTAAATCGATTGCAACCTTTGAATCTTGCAGTATCGGTGTAAGTAGTTCCAACACCTGAATAAAATCGAACACCAGTATAGGTTATTAAGCAATCCTCCCCTAATAAATCTAAAAGTCAAAAAAGTGTTTGCTGTCAAGTATTGCAAGACTAATATCTGCTTCAGAGCTTGTCTAATACGTGAATGTTTTGGCTACCATGTATCAGCTGACTATTCCTCAAAACCAGTAATTAAAAGGTCACTGGCAGCTGATAAAACGGACAAACCAACGAAAGTTACTGTATTTTCATGAACCAAGAAAAAGATGAAAGCCAAGAGACTCAAAGTTATACAAAAACGTGAAAGAAAAAAAGAAATAAGAAAGACATTAGTACTTCTAACCTCCTCTTTCTGAGAACCAGCATAGGCTAGCCCAAGTCCCATAACAGCTCCAATGCGGACTGTTAAGTCTTTCTTGTTGACAGAGTCAAACAGAAGAGCATACGCCTGTCATCAGTAAGTGTCACATTCAGTAAATTAAAACACACAGATTACCGAAGCTAGAATAGGTGAGTTGAAAAGTTACATATTATGGGTACATTATGTAAATTAATTCAGCAGATACATTCCAAAATTGTACGACAAAAGTGAAGGATAATAGTGCAAGGAAAACCTACCGGGTCGCACTCATTGCGAACACCACTATTGATGATTCCCACAGCAAGTAGAGCCCCAGCTACCACATGGTTGTCCTCGCTATACAGGTATTTATCAACCAGCGGAAGACCACCATCAACATCCCATAACATTATAAGCCCCTGATCGAACAAACCCAATTGACGTATCAGCATATTGATAAGAGCCCTGTATAGACCATGGGTGCATAAACCATCTATTTAACAAACTTTACCATCAAACCACATTTGTAAAAGATCATTACCAAGCTCGCTGCTGCAGTAGCCTTTCCGTGCTCCTTGTTCTTGAAAAGCCAGCCGCCAGAACTGCTTTCAGTAACTGGAGCAGTCATTAACTTGTCCTGCAATAGAGTAAGAATGAATTTTAAAAAGTCGAAGAAAACTATTTAGAACAAGATAAGAGTTTTGATACACGACAAGCATTACCCTGAAAAAGAGGTGCAGACAGCTATGCATCTACCAAGCCAGGATCAGAAAGGAGGGAAGATTGCAAAGGTTTATTCAAAGCCGTACCACGCCGAACCCAGCATTCACGAATCCATTAACAAAAGTGGCAGCCAGATTTTGGCGAGCAGAATCTACGCTAGCTCCTGCACTTGCACGGCCATCCACCAAGTGGGCCTGCGACATACACAAAAAAAAATTATATTGACACAAGTAACGGGGTTGAGATGAGATCATGTCGCATCAATAACACTCCGCATGAAAGAATCTCCGCCGTTAAAATTTCCAGGTACTCAAGAGATCCTAGAGATTACATCTCATACCAACTTCCCACAAAGAGCGCCACTACCTTCTTCCATAAATTTTTCATCAACTTTTCAACCAACACAAAAAAATACTTCGGGTTGGATATGCTGTGGAAGCCAATGTTGGGTAATCTATCTCAGAAAAGTAAACCAAGACAAACATGTCAAATGAAGGGATGTGTACGATACCTTGTATAAATCATCCGGGGTTTTAGGTTCCATCACATCAAGATCACGAGCTAGGGTGAGATAGCCCTCGCTCAATTTGCTATTGCTAATGAGTTCTTGAAGTAGTTCGCGTTGCTCCTCATTGTCAGCCATTTCATCATCGAGCTCGATAGATACACCCTGCATCACACTAGCAATAAGATAAACGAATACTACATAAATTTAAAACAAATCACAAAGCAGGCTGTGGTGAAGCTTCATATAACAACTGAAATCAATGCCCATCAGAAAACCTTGTCCAAAATGATAAACAGGATCAGATGAGTGATGACTGCGATGAAAACAGAATAAGAGGCTGACCTGTCTACCAAGGATGTAGCAAAGCTGCTGCTTTTCTAATGGATCTTTGCATGCTGCAAACGTTTGTTTCACATACTGCAGTGAAACATCAACACATTGTACAACAATCAGCACTCATCCATTCCCCACAATTATAGAGGAATTTGGTAATCAAGACCACAAAGCATGGTTAATTGCATTTTGGATAACAGAAAAAAGAAAAATCCATGCCTACGTCCCACCTAAAAGGTTCTACAAAATTCCCAAGGTTTTTCTTGAAGGATGAGATAAGTAAATTCATATTCTAATTTGAAAAAGTCAAATTAAAATTGGTCTCATAAGCATCTTCCAAGAAAACTAAAAAATTATTGAAGGTATCCTGACGGATCACTCGAGCTCAGAAAGGATACCATGTGCGTTAGTATTCTCCAGCCTTCACAAACCAAAAATCGAAAATCGAAACTTGATAGTATACCTGAATATTGCCCATTCGCAACGCGACTCGCAAGGCCTCTGGGAATTTGTTGAACTTGCAGTATAGTTGGTACGCAATTTTCAACACTGCCATATCCTCTGGTTCTGGGACATAACTGTATAGACAACCAATACCACTTCGTTGAAATCCATTCAAGCTGGAACTTATCCCCAAAAGAAATTCACGGCCAAAGATGAGAGCAATATGTACTTGGTGAAGAATCAAATACCTAGCAAAACTGGTTAAATAAGAACAGGTACGCTTGTGATTGGCTTTGTCAATGTGGTCAATAAGCATGTCAAGTTTATCCACCTGCAGAAAAGAATCCACAACTATTTAATACGACCGTCAATAGCAATTGAAAGAACAAACACACACAGGAACACCCCCCCCCCACCCTAAGAGAATAAAGTGGAATTCAAAACCAGCAGAAATTAAGCACTGCTAAGACAACAAAAACACTCAAAAACTCAAAACGATTATACTAATAACAATCTTGCACCAACAGAGACTAAAATATTGGGTAGTTCGTCAAAGCTTTGTCTACGAACCTCCATTAGAAGATCCACAGCCTCGGGTTCAGCGTTGTGCTACACAGGGGTAACACAAAGAACTTGTCAAAATGTATGCACGGCTTGCAAAGAAAAACACAACAGTGGTATTTTACGTTACTCCAGAGTAAGCCCAAATAAGCTAAAAGTATAAACGAGTAATTGATAATGCCGCGATTTACCTTAACGTGGAATGGGACAATCTGCTTAACCAGATCCATCAAGTCATCAACAGGTTCATCTGCAGCCTGCAATAAGTATATATATATTAACACGTGGAAAAGAAGCACAGTTTTAAAAGATGTTCATACAGGATCCTACTTGTAGTAAATGTATCAAACAAAATCATCCAGACAAACTTGGCACTCCTTAGACGAAATACTAAGCAGCTTCGTCACGAGCCCTCGCATGTGTTTTGGCTACTCAATATGTACCTGCCGTTGTTGAAACTCATTGCCTATCTCTCCAGCCAAGTTCCTGCAGAATGCTCAAGCACAACACACCCATGAGACATGTTCAATCTTCCACCAAAGAAATCGTCAGTCAGATAAATAATGCAACCGAAGGTAACTATCTTTACACATCTCAATCAAATTATTGTAACACTGGCATTCCTATGAATGCACGCTAATTATTTCGCAAAGAATAATACTTAGAACATACCTAACATACTCGTGACCCCATGAACCGATATCTCCAACTGTGCCCTGCAGTCTGAACCGCAAGCTTTCCTATACGATTTCCCGATAAGAAGTTGCGATTAGATTAAGCGAATGCTCTGACAATGCAAACTGATAAGTATGAACCAGAATTCATTGCAGCTTGAATAAAATTCACTGAGAAATAGTTAACTTACTCTATTCCCCTCCTCTGACATTGTAAGTGCAAGTACGGATAAGATATCCGCCATGAACCTCTGCAAAAGAAAAAAAGCCAAAGTCAAAATAATTCACTGAGTTCGTTCACAAGAACAAATATATGATAAATCTACTTGAAACGATGAAGGTATGAACACAGAATAATTAATAAAAACATATGATACAATATAGGAAAAATTACCTTAAGTTCAGAATGTGGCATTTTTTCATAGTGTGTTATCAAAGTTCTGTAATGAGGTCGAAGGAATTTGAGTGGTTTGGGAACTGAAGTCATCGAGCTAGTAGCTGTCCTGATTTCTTGTCTGCAGAAAACCATTCCGCAACATGAAGCCCCATCCGTCACCATTCTACGTAAATTGCCTTACTCAGACACACATCCAATATCTTTCACGGTGGAGCTTCATTCGCGATTTCCGAACCGTGACAGGATTATACAAAAGAAAATAGAATGTGATGTCCACGCAGTCGGCAAAAAGACTACAAGAGGTAGCTGAACACTCCATGGAGGGAGGCCGAATCCCGCCCATTCCGATGGTGCTATTTCATTCTTCGAAAACAAAAAATGGAAAAGGAATAATATTCTCTGTAAAAATGCACCTCATAGCTTCCAAAGCAGCTCTCTGAATTCCCTCTTCTGAGTCTTGGGCTCGTTCCACATATAGTTCCAACTGCTGCTTTAGAGCAAGATCTTCTTCCGACTGCAGGCCATCCAAAAAATTATAAAATTGAATCATGGAAAGCTACTCACAAGGGAGAGAAAAATACACTCATCATTGTCCATGCAGAAACAGGATTGAGATCCAAAGAAGCGTAACGGCTATGCCCATCGTCAGAACATTAAAAGTTAGCCTGTAAGCATCTACCTCCACCACCACCAAATGCATTACTATCCATAACTGAGTTCTCTTGAGCCTCAATTGACTCACCCCGACCATCAACTTTAGGGTTCTTTTCACATCAAATGACCAAGGCGAACCACTGACCTAACAACTATGTCCACCCTTCAAAACCCGATCAAACCATCGATCAGCTACATGGCTACAAAAGAATACAATACGCGCCCGATTTCCAATCAACATACATCACAATCATTATTCTCCTCACTGGAACTGCTTATTAAAATGCACAAAAGAAAATCCCTAAAACTAGAATACAATCAGCTGCAAAAACTCCAGAGATTTCCATGATTTCCACAGCCTCCCACCACCCTTCAAAAGCATCCCAAAATATCCCCAAACACCAAAATTAAAATTCAAGCATAAAATTAGTATCGAGGTATTGACCCAATTTTTCTACCCGAGAAAGAGAAAATCTTCTCCTGATCACTGCTAAACCCACCCAAAAAAATCCTAAAAAGAAACCACTATCAAAATCCTATTAAAAAAAATAAAAAACAACCTAAGCCACCCAACCGACCATACGAAAACAGAACCCTCGGAGCTCACAACCATGACCAAGCACAATGGAAACCCCACTCACCAAATCATCATCCTTCTTCTTCTCCTCCTTCTTCTTGTTGAGCCCCGTCGCGCCGTCCTTCTTCGACGGCGGCACTGCGTCGTGGTCCATCCGCTCTCCCGGTGCTCCCCCGTTCTCCTTCGGATCCGGCGCCATGGTTGATGCTACTCTAGACTGACAAATCGAACAACAGGGAGGGACAGTAGAAGGAAGGGGCAATGAATGGGGATCAGTCCAGCACGGGATACAAAACTCCCCTCAAATTGGTGGGTCTCGAGGGAGAGAGTCCGACACAGAAATGAAGCAAGCAATCAGGCGAGCAAGGCAAGCAATCTAAACTAATCTAATCAAGCCCCACATGTGAGAGAAACACATCAGGGCGTGGTTTCCACTCCTCCTCTTCCTCCTCTACTTCCTCTTCGTTTTCGTCTTCTCTTTTTTACGTCTTCTGCTTCTACTTCTTCCCCCTTCCTCCATACTTTCCACCCCTCCACGTCCCTTTGTGAGGTCCGTTTTTTCTGAGGTCTCCAGTACCTCAACCCACGTGTCTTGCGGAACCGGCTCTGAGGTCTTGAATGGGGATGTGCATGACGCGTGTCGGTTGTCGTGGTAAAATTTCAAGTCGAGCAAGTTTCTAAGTTTTTATTTCTAATTTCTATTTTTAGTTTTTAGTTTCTAATTTTGTTCGTGCCTTCAGTTGTAGGTTTTGTCAGATGATGAGAAGAGGCCATTGTATATGATCAATATCATTTTAGAAAGAATTATGTTTTGGGCCATTGCTCTAGAGCAAGCAAATGAATTCTTTTGCAATATTTTTATGACAATCAAAGTTATGAATTACAAAAAAAATATGAGATTTTTTATATTTAACTTCATATAAAATAATGATTTATAATTATTTATAAATATTTATTCATTTTGATTTGTGAATCCTCCAATAATGCTTCTTTAATTCAGGAATTCCATGTGGGTCGTTTGGAGGCATCGATATTTATTTTATTGATATGCAACTTTGATATGTAACTTTATACTTGAATTCATTTTATTACAAAAAAAACTCTTTGACTTTATTATGATTGACATTGAGTTTCATTTTTGGATTCTCCAAAGTAAGCAAATGAATTCATTTTTTATGTCAATCAAAATTCACTTACTCTAGCCATGTCAAATTTATTTTTAATTCATGCCAAAATTATACTTTATAAATGACAAGCTGCTGGTAGTAGAAAGGTTAATTAAATTGCAAAGCCGATTGGGAGGAAAATTTGAGCAATTATTATTTTTTAATTCTTTAGAATATAGGCATGAAGACTAAAAAGTGTAAATGACAAGCCTTCACTAAAAGAACCATAAATAGAAGAATTTTGTGCTTGACTTTTTTGATTCTACATTGCATGCATTTCACATCCTTCAGCTATTATCTTTCTTTCTTCTATAACAAAAGCTAAGATATTATTGTTAAATATGGCTTTATATATTTATTTTAATATTTTAATAGTTTTTATCTTTATAATTATATTTATAGTTATATTTATAGTTATATTTACTATATTACATTTCATATTATATCTTTATTATAAATTTAGGTTCTTGAGTAACAAAGTTTTATTGGAATTTTACGAGTATTGTTAACTACAATAAGAATTGTTGTACAAAAATTAAATTGTAAAAATTTCATTTCTTCTTCTTATATGAGATTTTTTATATTCCACTTCTTATATGAGATTTTTTATATTCAACTTCATATATATAAATAGATACATTTTGTGTATAAATATTTTTTAATAAATATTATTTAATAAATATGGAGGTAAAATTTTATAGATGTACAATTTTATGGAGGTACAATTTAGATGATTCCAAGCTTAATCTAATTCTCTGTTGAAATCCATGCCATTGTGAATGGTCCAGCTTTAACAATGAATCAAAGAGCAATTATTCAACAATAATATAGGAAATATGAAAGATCACAAAAAAAAAGTTGAAATAGTTACAAGTGTTGAAGCCACCCATGCCATTATGAATGGTCCAACTTTAACAATAAATCAGAGAGCAGTTGTTCAATGACAATATAGGGAATGTGAAAGAGCACAAAGAGAATCTAAAATAGTTGCAAGTGGTGAAGTTATACATAATCTAAGGAAGATGAATGTTTTGTATTTGCATTGTAATGCATTGCATTGGTTTCATGAACAAGAAAATTGCCATTGTTTGGACAATATTGTCGTCAAGGAAAAGTTTCTCTACCATCTCTACCTTCTCTCCCTTTACTTTTGAGATGCTTATTTAATGACCAAGATGCAAGAATAAGGGAGTTTTGAAAAAATATTTATTGATACAATGCTGCACATGCATTTACGTCCTTAAATACAAATATTGATCAATTTATGCTTTAAGAAAATGCTCCATATAGTTTTAGAAAAAATAGAGAGTTGCGCCATTTAGCACAAGCGTTGTTATCAAAAGAAGGTAATGATCCAACTTATGCATTTTCTATATTCACAATGTATCATTTGTATAAGATTGAAGAATAAGAAATAATCATGGTTTATTGAATCAAACTATGTCGAAAATTAGAAAAGTTTTGAAGAAAAATAATCTATTTATTAGATTATATAGACAGAGACATGAAATACTATCTCAGGTGCAGAATGAAGAAGTAGCGGAAGTATATTGTGCTGTTTCTTTGCTTTTTATGAATGAGAGCAATAGACATCGATATAATCTTCCTACCACTTTTGAAGAAATTGCTATTATATTGCTTGAAGATGGATCGGAGCATAATGCACTTTGTGATATTATTATTTGTCTATGTAGTAATAGGTTGTTAAAAATGATTCATGAGATCCATCCAACTTATTTTTATTCTATAATTTTGCGTAGAAGAAAGCTATTACAAGAATTTATGGTTGACAGATGGACAGCAGCTGAGTGATTATATTTACAATATCTATGTTAAAATCAAGAAAATCTACGTACTGATTTATACCAAGGATTATTAGATGATGTTATAACTCATCAAAATATTGGACATGAAAAAAGATGATATGAATTAAATAATTTAAAATGTAAGATTTGTCAAGGACAAAAACATGATAAAGATAAATAAACAAGTGAGACTTCTCTCAAAGAAAGATGAAAAAATAGAAATAACTTGATATGTATATTAACAAAGAAATTGGAATGGCTATTGTCAAAAGCCAAGAAAATTAAATACCCTTGAAACTAGACTGAAAGCAAGAAAGAAGTTGACAAGAGTGAAGAAGGCTTTACTCTTGTCTCTATATATACTATCTTACTAGGGGCTACGTGGCGACGTTCTATGAGACCTCCAATATGTGTTGACTTTGTAGGATACATGCCTTGACTTACAAGGTAGGTTTTTCTATGTGTGCGCCACATAATTAGCTTAGTCTTTAAGCTAACAACATGTGTGGCACATGGCCAACTTGTTGACCACGTTTTTAATCCCAAAAAGTCAATTAAAGACACCTATAAAGTCAAAGTAGCATCTATAAAGCTTCTAAGAAGCTTCCATACCAAATGCTATAGAATTAACTTACTTTTACCTATTTTTACTTACTTCTATATATTTATACATGTAATTATTGACTTATATGTGTATGTCCATGATATTACCTCCCTTTGTAGGGACAAGTTCCACAAAGAGCAGTTATCATATTTTGAGGAAATCTATAATGCAATGAATTGTATTTGCCACATACTCTAATCTTTGTTCTCTTCGAAGATGATTGATAGGGCCTTTCAACCATTGGTAGTGTTCCATATTAGGACGGAAAGACCACCCAATTATTTGATTATTGTTGAGGCTTTCATAACTTCCTTTGAATAAAACATTTGAAATACCATTACGAGTTGTTCCTACTTCTAGTAAAATCACCAAACATCGGGAGTCCCTTCCAAGATTGTGATATCAAATGCGTTGTATTTTGCCATCTATTCGAGGAAGAACATGTCATTCTTGAAGATCTTCATCTCGATTATGTCGTCTTGAAGGTTATGACAATCGTAATATCTTGTTTGATAGTTCAACAAATGAAGGCTCTTAAGTCAAATCCGGTGGTTGTTGGTTCTCCATCTCTTGAGTATCATAACTACAAAGAAGCTACAAATAAGGATTGAAAGTAGAATGTTATCTTACCTAGATCTTGTTTCTTTTATAAAGAAGATTTTCATCTTGATTTTGATGGATGTTGTTGATGAAAAGCCTCTATTGCCTTTGTTGCATTTGCAAGATTCTTTACTGGCTCTTATGTGCATTCACTAATATCATATCCATGCCAATGGACAAGATATTCTAATTTATTTCGACGTCGTCTTGAATCTAAGACTTCTTCCACTTCAAACTCTTTATTATTGTCTACTTCTATAGGAAGAGGTAGAGCTTGTCTTCTTCTTAATATGTCCATTATCTTGTATGATTAAAAAAGAGACATGTGGAATACTGGATGGATTTTTATTGACTCTGATAGATGTAAACAATATGCAACTGGATTGATTTGTGTAGAAATAGAAAATGGTCTAAGCCTTCGATAGTCCAACTTGTCACAAGGATGAGTAGTCTTGATATTGTGACAAAGTAACCATACCTTATCACCTATGTAGAATGGTGGTTGTTCCTTTTGATAGACATCCACATTGACCTTTTGTTGTTCTTGAGTTTCTTTTAATTGCGCCTTCATTGTTGCATGTAGCTCTGACAAATGAATTGCCAAATCTTTCGCAACAGGATTATCAACTTTTGAAAAGTCAAAAGTATCAAGACATGGATGATAACCATAATTGGTAAAAAAAGGTGTTTATTTTTTAGAAGAATGTACCGTGTTATTGTAAGCAAACTCTGTCAATGGCAAAAGAATTGTTCAATCATCTTATTGATAATTAATGGTACATCTTAAATACTACTCCAAAACTTGATTAACACGCTCTGTTTGTCCATCAATTTGAAGATGGAATACCAAAGATAGTTTTATATCCACTTTTAGAATCTTGATACAAATTGAGTTTCTCTATCTAATATAATATCCTTGGATAATTCATAATAGCCATAAATATTGTCAAGAAAGAACTTAGTTGTTTCTTCACCTGTGATAGATTTTGTATATGGTACAAAATGTGCCATCTTGGTAAAACGATCTATTATCACAAATATAGAGTCATAAGAACATGAGATTGGAAGATCTATGATGAAATCCATAAAAATAGAAGACCATGGTTGTTTTGGAATGGGTAATGGCTTAAGAAGTCCATAAGGTCGATGACAAGGAGTTTTTGATCTCGAACAAACATCACAAGATTGTACAAAATCTTTGATTGCTTTCTACATTTGGAGCCACCAAAAGTCCCTGGATATTAGTTCCAAAGTTTTATTGTACCCAAAAAGTCTTGCTGCTAAAAAGTCATGACAAGCTTGAAGAACACGTAATCGAGCT